ATCCTCCTCCATCCTCCTCCATCCTCCTCCATCCATCCTCCATCCTCCTCCATCCTCCTCCATCCTCCTCCATCCTCCTCCATCTTCCTCCATCCTCCTCCATCCCCCTCCATCCTCCTCCATCCTCTTTTTTCTTGCTTGCTTACCTGTGTTTTCTTGACCCTCTTTCTAGTTTTATATTTACTCTGTTCAGTTCACGGAAATAATTATTCTATTTTGTGGAATGAAGCCTTGCTAGATTCTAGAAGCAAAAATAAAGCGAATTATAATCTTTGAGCTAAGTTTTAATTGTTCCCTTTGATGGTGAGGGGGAGTTTTTTTAAAATTATTTGTGTATGTATGTGTGTCTCTGTGATTATAACTGTGCACGTGAATGTGAGGAAGTATGGAAGGCAATGGAGGCCAGAAGACGTGGGCATCCGCCGCATCCACCTCTAGCCTACTCCTTTGAGATGGTGTCTTTTCCTAAACCAGGAGCCTACTTTCCTACTACTTTCCTACTTTTCTTGGCTAAGCATTCTCTCTCTCTCTCTCTCTCTCTCTCTCTCTCTCTCTCTCTGCGTGTGTGTGTATGTGTGTGTGCACATGTGCACAGGCATGCACATGCATCCATTCCATGGCTCTTTTGCCCTTTCTGCATCTTCAAATCCAGCAGCATAGGCCCACATAGGTACATAGATATATTTCCCCCTCTGTTGCTGGGGAAAGCTCAGGGTCTTGTGTATGCTAGGCAAGCACTGCATGACTGAACTACACCCCCAGCCCCCTGACTTTTTCACTTCATACATCATGAACTCTTTTTCACACCTGCCAGTTACCATTATTAAGTCACCTCTAGTAGGTTGTTTCTAAAATAAGAAACATTTTAATTGATGTTCTTGTTACATTATCTTGAGGTAAAGTCTAGAGGAAAATTGTTGGACCAAAGAGAGACATCTTTGTAAGCTCTGGATCCTGGAAGGATCCTGATGATGCCCATCTCAGGCTAAGGACACAGATGGGTCTGTGTGACACAGCCTTGTCAACCTGGACATCTTCCCCCTTGGAACTCTGAATTCCAGGAGCCTGGGCCCTAGTGTTTACCTTTTTCATCATAATACCTGATTTCTACTTAATGGTGTTTTTACTGCTTCTCCACAGTGACCTTCCAGATGCAAAATCGAGAGCCCTTGACAATATTGGCAGAGTTTTTGCCAGAGTTGGGAAATTCCAGCAAGCCATTGACACGTAAGTAACACAGACTGCCCCTTCCCCACCCTGGGACTGGGACTTCTTTCCCTTACACTGGGCTTCCAGCCTGGGGACATAAAGCCAGACAAAGGCATTAGTAAATGAACTGAACTTAGAACCGGACATGGCCAATCATGCAAGTTATCCGAGTTATTTAGGGGGCTTAGGGAGGAGCATTGTCCGTTCTGGGCCAGATAGAACTACAGAGCAAAAGCCTATTGGAGAGGAGGAGGGGGAGGAATAGGAAGAAGAGAAGGAGGAAGAAGAGGTAGAAGAGGAAGGAGGAAAGGGGAAAGGAGAAGAGAACCAGATGACCTAGACTCCTGGCTCTGCTGGGTGACAGTTGAAGCTCTAGTCTTTGGTCTATCCTTTGGTACTGGAGATCAACCCCAGGCCTGGTGTATGGAACATCAGTACTCAACTGGCATGTGACCTTGTCTACTTCAACAAGTCCTTTTTATTTGCCACCACCGAGCCACCTCCCCAAACCGACCGGCTACTTTAAAGCTTTTTTTCTCTTCTGCATAAAGTGTTTTGCTTGTATGCTTGCCTGTGCACATGTGCCTGGTGCCCAGGAAGGCCAGAAGAGGTCATCAGATTACCTGGGACTAGGAACAGATGTGAGCTAACATGTGGGTCCTGGGAATTGAACCTGGGTCATCTAGAAGAGCAGACAGTGCTCTTAACCCCTAAACCATCTCTCCAGCCCCTGACTAACACTTTTAAGCTCTGGATCTTCTAATTTGAATAAGTCAGTGGAAGAAAACCAACATTTTCTCAGCATTTTCAAGCTATCAGAGGCACCCAAAATTCTTCTCAGGCTTGAGAACTACATGGCCTTGGGCCAGTGACCTAGCTAACTCAGAGGATAATGAGCCACCGTGCATAACTACTCAGGTTTGATCCCTGGACCCCAAAAGGAAAGAACAAGCTTTTGGAAGTTGTCCCCTGGCTCCACTTCAAGCTATGACATCTGTAAACACACACACACACACACACACACACACACACACACACACACACACGATGAAAATAATTACAGTTAAAATTTGAAAAATAAGTACTTGGTCTTACCCTTGGAAATTCCAACTCTAATGTGAAGGTCAGGATTCAAGAATTCAAGAATTCATTTCTCTCTTTTTTTTTTTCTTTTCTATTTTTGATTTTTTGACACAGGGTTTCTCTGTGTAGCCCTGGCTGTCCTGGAACTCACTCTGTAGCCCAGGCTGGCTTCATATTCTCAGAGATCTGCCTGACTCTGCCTCCTAATAAGCCCTGGGATCAAAGGTGTGCACCACCACTGCCTAACTAAGAAGTCATTTTAAATTTATTATTATTTATTATTGTGTGTGTCGTGTGTGTGATGTGAGAGTGAGGAGCAGGCATTCGTGTCCCGCTAATTACTCGTGACGGCCAGAGGAGAACTTTGTGGAGTCAGATTTCCCCTTCCCTACTTCCACTGGTTCTAGAACTAGACTCAGGCCACCAGGTTTGTTTTGCAAGCTCCTTCCCCGCGGAGCTGTCACACCAGCCTGGAACTCATTTCTAGGTGCTTCTTACTTTAGAGCTGATAGGCCAAGGGACCTCTGTGACTTTCTTAGAGGCTCCTCCATGACTCTGTGTGACTGTGTAAGGTTTAGGAGAACTGCATCTCAACTCTCCAGAGGGTCTATTTGAGGTCTAACCTTGAGGTTGGTTATCTGTTCAGTGTGGAGGGTGGGCATGGCCGTAGGGAGCCTCAGAGGCAGCCCAGACCCGGAGAGCCAGCTTCCTTGGCTGCAGCCACCCCTTCTAGAGAGACACCGTCCTTCAGACCTCTGACACTTGTTCACCAAGCATCCATCCAGGTCACGTGATTTGGTGTTCCAGTGCCCTTGGTGTCTGTGTACTGGAATGTGGTTCCTCCTGGTTTTCAGTCACTTGAACTCGCTCTCCTGGCTCAGACTCCCCAGGAAGTACTTACTGATTCCGCTCTGGACCGAACTGGAAGAATGAGTTTTCGTCTGCTCCCACAGGAAGCCTGTGTCTGCCGAGGCTGAGCGCAGAGCTGGAAAGGAGATGACCCAGTTCTTCTTTTCCCCAGGTGGGAGGAGAAGATCCCTCTAGCCAAAACCACCCTGGAGAAGACCTGGCTCTTCCATGAGATTGGCCGCTGTTACTTGGAGCTGGACCAGGCGTGGCAGGCCCAGAGCTATGGTGAAAAGTCTCAGCAGTACGCTGAGGAGGAAGGGGATCTCGAGTGGCAGCTGAACGCTAGTGTTCTGGTGGCACAGGCCCAAGGTAGGGACTCAGAGACTACCATCCTACCTATTTCTCCCAGCGCCAGGCCTGTGGACGACAATCCAGGCTGAGTCTAGCATCTCTGCGCCTCCATTCTTACCATAATTTTGACAATGAGGATTTTTTGTTTGTTTGTTCGTTTGTTTGTTTTTTGTTTGTTTGCTTGGTTCTCTATTTGGTTGCTTTGTTTTGATGAATTAATGAATTAATTTAATTAGTAGGTTAGTTTTGTTTTTTGAGACAGAGTTTCTCTGTGGAGACTAGTTGTCCTGAAACACACTCTGTAGACCAGGCTGGCCTTGAACTCACAGATCCTCCTGCCTCTGCCTCCCCAGTGCTGGGATTAAAGGCATGCACCACTCACTGCCTCTCAGCTTTGTTTTAATTTTTAAATAATATTTTTATTATTTCTTTGAAGATTTCACATCTTCAGTTCCCCTCCTCCAGTTCCCCCCAGATCCACCACCACTTCCCTTCCCACCCACCCTTGTGTTCTTGTTTTTTCCAGTTTGTGTTGCCCAACTACTCTTAGGTGTGGCACCTGCCTTAGAGTGTGAGCAACCTACCAGGGGGGTCACCCCATTAAAGAGACCTGACCTCCCATCTCCAAACAGCTCTCAGGTGCCAGTAGCTCCTCCGCTTGGGGGGGGGGGGGGAGGTTTGTTCCATCTCTCCTCTTCCATGTTGGGATTTTGTGAGGCTCAGATTTGTCCAAGTCTTACTCAAGCTGTCCTAACTGCTGTGCGTTTATATTACAACTACCCTGTTGTGTTTAGAAAACACTGTTGCCGCGAAGTCGTCCATCTGGCTCTTAACAATCCTCCTGCCCCCTCCTCCGTGAAGACCCCTGAGACTTGGAATGATACAGACATCCCACTTAGGCTGGGCACTCTGCGCTCTGTCACCCTCTGCGTGTTGACTGGTTCTGGGTCTCTACGTTAATTGCCATTTGCTGCAAGGGGAAGCTTCTCCACTTAGAGTCCAGAGCCGTGCTTAGGAGTCATTAGGAGTTAATTGGATGCTAGATTGATTCAGCCAAATAATAGTAGTGTGTTCTCTCCTAGGGCCTTATGACTTATCTGGCCACAGGTTCTTGGCCCCATAAACAGTGCCAGCTATGGATTCTATTGTAGACTGGGGCCTTAAACACCTATCTCCCTACCCCACACCCTCAAAAACAATGGTTGGTTATTTCCATATCTCTTCTGCCCCTTTTGCAGCTGTGGGTATCTCTGGCTAGGCCAGTCATTATTTGGGTAAAAATGGTGCTTATATGTTTTCCTCTGGCGGTGTGCATCTCTGCCGAGCCGTAACTCCAGGCACCAAGTGGAGCTCTTTTTAAGGGCACAGATCTTTCACTCTGTCACTCAGCGGATTGGTCCAGGCTTAGCTCCAGCACTAGCAGGCTGAGTGAGCTCTGCTGAGCCACTTGTTCTCTGTCCCATCAGAGGAGGGGACTGGAGGTTCCAGCAGCTGTCCATGGCACACACCCATCTCCCCATGTTTCCCTGCTCTCCAGTGGGATGATGGTGGTGATGGTGATGGTGATGATGCTGATTAGCATATGTTGTGTACATGTGTGTGCATGCGCCTATGCACACGTGTGCAGAGACCAGAGGATGATACATGACGACTTCCTCTCAGGATCTTTCTATTTCAGCCAGATTGGCTGGTAAATGAATGAACTGGGATCTACCTTTACCTACCTCCCAGTGTTGCAGCTACAGGCAGATCTCCCGGCTTTAACACCGGTACTGAGGATTTGAACTCAGGTCCTCATGCTTGCATTGCAAGTCTTTTGCCCATTGAGCCCTCTCTTTATCTCACTAGTTTGCTTTTTGTTGCTGGGTCTACACCCCACTCCCCGAGACAGGGTTTCTCTGTGCAGCCCTGGCTGTCCTGGAACTCACTTTGTAGACCAGGCTGACCTTGAACTTGGAGAGATCCATCTGCCTCACTGGGGTTAAAGGCGTGTCACCCCCACCTGGCTCTCCCCATTTTGTTTTGTTTGTATTTAAAAAAGAGAAAGAAAGAAAGAAAGAAAGAGAGAGAGAGAGAGAGAGAGAGAGAGGAAGAAAGAGAGAAAGAAAAGAAGACAGTGTCTTATGAGTCTCAGGCTGGTCTTGAACTTGATACATAGCCAGTAAGGACCTCATACTTCTACTGTCTCCACCTCCCAAGTGCTGGGGTTACAGGTACGTCTCCACTCCCAGTTTCTGCAGTGCTCAGAGTCAAATCCAGGGGTTCATGCATCATAGCCTCTACCAACTGAGCCATGTCCCCCACTCTACAAAGTGTTTTCAGAAAGCTACCTAAAGGTATGGATTGCCTCTCCAGGAACCATTTCCAAACGGGGTTACAGTCCCCACCCTGGAGGTACATGTCATGTGCACTGTTCCTATCCTAAGATGGCTCCCCTCACTGAGGGCCTGGGAGCTACAGTGCTGGTCCCTGTGTCCTAGTCCTCAGTGCTGCACAGGCCAGGAACATGCTCCAAAGATGGGGTCGGGCTCCTCCGTGGTCGTCTGGAGCTGATCCCAGCAGACACAGACTTCTAATGTGTCCTGGCAGACCAGGGGCTCTGTCAAGCTGTACAGAGTGTCTCAGTTTGTTCTCTGCCTTCTTTTCCATTCCCCAGTGAAGCTGAGAGATTTCGAGTCAGCTGTGAATAACTTCGAGAAGGCCCTGGAGAGAGCCAAGCTGGTCCACAACAATGAGGCGCAGCAGGCCATTATCAGCGTGAGCATATGTCAGCTGCAGGGCCAGGGAGGGATGGAGTGGGAGTGGATGGCTGTGCTCTCCGGGGAGGGGTGGAGTGGGAGTGGATGGCTGTGCTCTCTGGGGAGGGGTGGAGTGGGAGTGGATGGCTGTGCTCTCCGGGGAGGGGTAGAGTGGGAGTGGGTGGCTGTGCTCTCTGCCACCTTAGCCTTTCCCCAGCTGCTTATTTGGCTGGGAAATAAGCAGCTGGTCCAAGTAGTGGTTTGATTTGAAGCAAACAAAAGAAACAAAACTTTTACTAAACAATCACATCTTCAATGTACTAGTCACTCTGACAATTCCTACTGTCTTATTTATGTGTTATTAATACAAATATCCATTAATTAATGAGATATGAGGGCCTCTTTCCATTGCCCAGGCTGACCTCAACCTCCTAGACTCAAATGGTCCTCCTGCCTCAGGCTACAATGTAGCTGACACTGTAAGACTCTAGGTTTGGCCATTACAGTACACACGGCTTTCCATTTTCCTTTGTTTAATGCTGATTGACATTTCCTCTTCCTTCTTTTT